TAATTGCGTAATAATTGAGTTGCAATTAATTTTTCGGTAGGCCTGGGTTAAACCGACATCTAGATATATTATTAATATTAATATCAAACAATTTTTATTGAGGTGTCGATATACAGTCAGACCTCTCTATAGTCACCTCTTCTATAGTCACATTTGCTTATAATAAAAACAACTTATATAACACTTATAAAATTTAATCTCTATATAAGCACAAGCTCTCTATAACGATAACGATAAGCACCAAATTCTTAAAACCAAGGGTGTGATTATAGAGATATTTGACTGTAACCAGATAGAATAAAGATATATATAATAATATATGCTGGGTAACTAATGTAGTAACATAAGCAAAATAAAATTGTTAAATTAGTTTCGTTTAAAATATAAATTGTTTCTCATAACCTGGCCGAGTCAAAATTTGCAAAGCTTTAAAAAAAATTTTTTTGACTATACTAAACTATTCGGGTGGGCTTTTTAAAAATCTGTAAAACAATTATATATATTTTTTTGTATATAAACTTTTTTAAAAATAAAATTAAAAAGACTTCCAGATCATTAAAACTTTATGTTACAAGAACCAAAAAACTAACTTTGTATGATCTAATATTAATAAAGTTACTACTATAATATAATGATTATTAGTATTTGTATGCCCGGATTTTTTGCATTTTATCAAAAATTTATTCCATGTTATAGACCCGAGTATAGTACTGTACATAGAGGATCTGATATCTGGGGGATCTTGTATATGATGTTATTCCGTTTTCTATTTAAAAGATAAAATTCCAGGTTCGTAATTTAATTTTTCTAACATCTAACTCCTAAAGGTTTTAAATTATAAAACAAAAATGGTACCATTACTGTATCGGAAAAATTTTTTAAAAGAACAAATCTTTTATTTCATGCTCAGCAGTTAGAAGAATGCGTATTTTCAATCATTTGACGTATCTTAACGTCAGATAATTCGTGAAATCGTCAGACGATAAAATATCAATATCAGATATGAAGTGTAAAAATATGTAATATAGATAGATATACGTGGTAAGCATTAATTATTACGTAATTAAAACAACTTTATTATTGAGATCGCCAACAAAACATCCTCAATAAAGAAATATATGAGTACGTACGTATAAATTTGACTTGACGGACTTATCCTCCGCATTGGTTCCGTTGGTGAAATTGTTAACCTTTACCAATTCCAATATTTATTGACAATTGATATTGATTATTGAGTTTAACAAATAATTTGACATTTCGATCAAATAACAAAAAAAAAATGTCTACTAATCAACATGATAATGATGTTATCCTGGCTCAATTACTTTCTTTCGGGTTTGACGAATCGATATGTCAAAGGGCAATAACATGCAATAAAACTGTTGAAGAAGCTACTGAATGGTTTGTCTCTATTTAATCTGCAACTTATCCAATGATAAAATGTATATAATATCCTATCATATAATTCAGGATTTTGAATACTCTGGATGAAAATTCTGGTAGCAGAACATCTTCAAATAATACTTTGGTACTGCGCCCACCTGAATCTTACGAGAGAGCTTCTGCGCCAATGATGATTGATGCAGAACAGTCAGCCTCTGTGGGTAAATTTTATAACTTTAATTCGTTTTTGATTAAATTTTAAATGACCAGCTATTATTTTTAATCGCCAGTCTAGTTCCACTTCAAACCCAACGATCATATCACGTTATTCAACGCCAGAAAATGAGTCAGAGTATACTGAAAAGTCGAAAGCAAAAGCTGCAAAGGTTGCAGAGGAATTGAAGAGATCAAAACTTTTGGAAAAAGAGGCTCGTAAGAAAACTTTATTAGCAATTAAGGAGGACCGTGAGAATTTGAAACTGCGCAGATTAAATCCTAAAACAGATGGTGGTAGCCCCGCAAGTTCATCTTCCATTTCTACTCCTCCACAAAAGATCGAACAATCAGATTCAACTCTTATTCAGATCCGTTTATCAACTGGTCAGGCAATACGTCAAAATTTTCTTAATACTGCTTTAGTATCTGACCTCTTCAGTTGGGTTATTAGTAAGAATGAACCAAGCAAAAAGTTTCAATTGGTGATACCCTTTCCACGAAAGGTGTTTGGTGACGATGAGATGGGTTCGACACTTACCGATGCTGGTTTAGTTCCAAACGCTTCACTAAACGTAGTAAAGTTAGATATGCCTTCTATTGCCACGCAAGCTCCTATAAACAGTATTCCAAGTTCTATTACTTCGAATATTGGATCAGATGATTCAAATAATAATGGAAGTAGTGGCAGCAACACAGGCCAATTGTTACCAAATGTTCCTAATCCATTCGCTGGGCAGCAAATACCTCCCCCCAATTTACCGCAGCAGCTACCCCCTCCAAATTTACCGCAGCAGTTACCTCCTCCAGTACCTATGCAACAAGGACTCCCTCCAAATTTACCACAGCAATTACCTCCTCCAATACCTGTACAACCAGGAATTCTGCATCCTCTTATGAATGTCCAACCAGGAATTCCTCCTCGAATACCCGGCCGACTTCCTCAAAATCCGATACCACCTTTATTACACCACCCAATGCATGCCAGATCTCTACCATTTTCTGGCACAAGTTTTCGTTTAAACAGTAATCAGCCTAGTCAACAACCAATTTTACAGCAGGACTCGGATGATGATTCCGATGGTAAATATATATATAATTATATTAAATGTAAATTAGTTTGAAAGTTATGAATGCTTACTAAATTATATTTATCATCACAGATGAAGAAAAAAGGAAACGCATTGCTGAAGCTGTACAGGCACGGGTACGTGCAGAGGATTCTGCTTCGACTGATGATTCTCAGCATACAAAACATGGTATCAGACGTGAAGTTGGCTCTTTAAAGTCAAAATGCGCATATTGTATTGCGGGTAATTTCATAAATTAATTTATTGAATTTTAAATATTTCAACTAAATATATTAATTATTAATAAATTTAATTATAGTTCTCCTCACAACAACTACGTCAATGAAAACTTTACGATTTCTTAGTAGATTGTCTTCTGATATTTGTGAATTATTAGTTGATGAATTGATAAAACTTGACAAGTAAAATCATTTTTGAATTACGTTTTTTTTTTTTTGAGTCTATTAATTGCTCATTATTCATTCTATTATTCTCTTTATATTAAAAAAAAAAAATTTATAGGCTGGATACGGTTACATTCAAGAGATTTGTAAACTGGTTTGAAATTTTTTCTTCAAATATTCAAATAATTGAATATTATAATAAACAGAAAAAGGCATAATTATTAATTTTGTTCATTATTTCTAGTAATTTGCAAAATATCATATTAGACAACTACAAGACAACTGATTCCCTGTTGGAAGTAATTAGTAATACCCAAAGTTCTTCAGTCACTAAGGTCAGCCTACGTAATTGTGATCTGATAACTGACAATGGGTTCAACTGTTTACAAGGTAAAGAAGTTTTTTTTTTTTATAATATTTTAGCACAAAAGTAGTCAGTTTATTAATATTAATAACATTATAGAGTTGCATTATCTCGAATATCTTGATGTCATGAGCTGCCGGATTCGAGATCGTACCCTACCTTTTCTTAAAGGTTTAATTATTTATTATTTTTCTTTTTCAATATATTTTTCTGTAAAATCAAGTATTCAATATATTTATACAAAAATTTTAGACTTTGGAGAATTAAGAGCATTAAATCTATCAAAGACAAAGGTGACTATGAATGGTCTGCGTATTCTTTTCGCAAGCTGCGCCTTTGCATCTACTTTAGAAGACTTAAACTTATCATACTGTCCTGGAGTTGGGGGGAAGACAGTCTTTGCGGATCTGCAACGTAAATATATATTAGATGAACTATTTTATTGTTAATGAAAACTTTCCATATTATAAAGCTGATATCATCTTTTATATTTATAATAGCATTACAGAATCTTCGACGTCTCAATCTTGACAGTGTACAGCTAACACCCCCACTTGTGCCAGTAAAACCATCCAGTTTTAAAAATCTAGAAATGTTGGATTTATCCAGGACGCGACTTTGTGACCAAGATGTAATGAAAATTATATGCCAATTTAAAAACATGGTTGAGCTTGTGTTAATAGAAACCATTGGCATTGGTCAATTTGGATTGAAATGGATGGCCAAAGGTAAAAAAAAAAAAGTACAACTTGTAATTTTTATTTAGTATTGGTATAATCAAAGTTTTAAAATAATTAATTTTACATTTGCAGAGTTTAAATCTCTTAATTTCATTAATTTCCCGAATCGAGAGGAAGAATTAGATGATATATTGCAAGACTTCTCTGGTGAATTTTATGAATTTATAAGCTTTTTTTTTTTGAACGTGTGATTTCGATCTTATAATATGTTATTTTTTATAGAATTGCCATTAGTAAAAATGGATTTGACTGGTTTTATAAATGTATCTGATGCGGGAATTATGTATCTTGCGGAAGCCAAGAGGTTAGTTTTTAATAATAAAATTTTTCATTTTTTCATTAACTATATTGAGTTATTGAGAGTGACTTATTTTATTTCAGTCTTACTTTCTTATCCTTGTCTGGTACGAAATTGACAGACGCTGGAATGGTGGCCTTAAAAGGTGCTTAATGTTATGAAATTTGTATGATTATCAAATTTTATAACTATTAATAATCTTCTATACATATATATGTAGATTTGGTGAATTTAGTTGAATTATATCTAGATCGAACCTTAATTACGGATGCTGGTGTTGCTTATCTTGATGGTATTGCACTCATAATACATATTGCATATTACAAATATTCATGTCACGTGAAAATGCCATTAATATCCTAACAAAATTTTTTTAATTAGGCCTACGCGAACTTACTCATCTTAGTTTAAATAAAACACGTATCAAGAACGCGTCATTGTCTATAATCCGTAAATCTACATTTGCCACGAGGAAATTAAAATATCTTAATGTTGGACATACGCGCGTTACTGATAAAGGAGTAAAAGAATTAAAAGGTGAATGTCTTTTCTGTGCATATATCGAGTTTCCGTAAGCACCCATGACATTTTATCACCTATTAATTGATATTATTTTTTATGTAGGTTTACCGCATTTGTCTTTCTTGAATTTGGATTTCACTAAAGTATCTTTGTCATGTCGTAACATTTTAGCTGGTAAGAAGGCATAAAATTTCTTAATAGCTTATGTAAGAATTTTATAACAAAATTTTTAAATATTATTTTATTCATTAGATATTCCCTCACTTCAACCGGTTCGCCTTAATGGAATAACCAAAGAAACTTGTGATGATGAATATTATGATATTTAGAAAACGTCCTATATTTGGCATGCATACCAATGCTAAACATTAATTTAATAAACAAGTTCTAAATATTCAAATAGATATTTGAGGCTTTTAAGAATAGCCTTTTATATATAAATACATTAGTGATGATTATATTTGTGGAGCGTAATTGTTGAACTATTATTCATTGTGGCAAAATGTGCTATCACTTCTTTTTTTCGATAAATTTCAATAAGTTTATTATCTGTATTTATAAAGATTAAACATTATAAACTATATATGACTACAGTTATTAAAAATTTCGCGTTTTTTTTTAGATTAGAATTAGAGTTTTGCCATTACTATATTAGATTAGGATTAGAAGGCTAGATAAAAACGTTTTTTGTTTTAATCTTTTATTTTGCTTATACGTGATCTTGATTTAACTGTTAATTCAGAAATAGCGATAACAAAATTTAAATTTCATTATTACATTAAATCAAGATTTTTTGTTTTATAAAAAGTAATTCCTTACACTGTTGCTTGTGAGTGATCTATGATCTAGCTATCAAATTATGGCCTATATCGCAGTATATTAGAAGCTACATGATTGATAGTAATTACAGAATTATAGATTTTGCAAGTTCCTTTATTTTACAGCTGTTTTCATTATTCCTGGGACACTTATAAAAAAATTAGCCGAAAAATTTTTCGGCCGGTAATTTTTTCGGCATAATAAATTCAATAAAAATTATATTTTTTTTTAATTTACTGTAATATTGATATAATGTCTAAGTCATAAATTAAATATATTTTTGAATTCGTTCAATTTTTATTTACTGTAATATCGATATAATATCTACGTCTAAATTACATCGTTGTTCCAATTTCAAAAATTACTATAATAAATATAATACCTGTTCTACAAATAATTTTATTATTATAATGCAGTAATGTCAACATTATTA